CTCCATGCGAGCCCGCCGAGAGGCGTATTGCGTCTGCAACGCTTGAGCAGCTTGCCATACGCTGCCAGAGACATCACGGAGAGCTCCTGCGCTGCCGCGTCCGCCCCGAGCGGGGCCAAGTCGTCCTGCCGGTTGTGGGATCGTCGCCTTTGCTGCAGTGAGATCTTGCCCTAGCATAGCGAACATCTCGACCGTAAGGAGACCCTTGTCGGCCGAAAGCCTGCATAGGGCCGGATCCAGCCCCTGTCTCCCGAAAATCTGGCGCAGGTTCAGCTTCGGAGTCGCCGCCTCGTCCGCGTACACGGTGCGATCCACCATGGCTGCCTAACGAGCTGTCTGGGAAGAAAAGCTTCGGTCAGCGAGAGGCTCAGCTTCGAAAGACCATCAGACCGGCGAGCAACTGTATTCACGGCTCCGTAAAGATCTTACCGGAACACAACGAGCACATCTGGGTGCTCGGCGGAATCTCGCCGAGGTCTTCGCACTCGGTGATCGCATACCGGCCACAGAGCGTTCGCTCCGTGCCCGAACCATCTATATACATGGCATGGTACTTAAGGCTCAGATTCTTCGACGACCCAGAGGCTGATCTAGCCTTGGTGACATAGGTCAGAGCGAGATCTCCGAAGTCGACCAGGTTGGTGTCGTCAGCCTCGAACTCTGGCGGGGATTTCCAGTCAGAGGCTATCCTCTTCGTGAGCCGCTTGACCATCTCGATCGAGATCTCCTTGCGGCTCCGAGCGTACTTCAGGACCAGCTGGCTCGGATCCTTCCAGTTCGCCTGGAGCCCTATCTCTTTGTCGGGCTCCTGTGCCTGGACCGCCGCCGCGAGCAGCGTGACTCGGCAAGAGTGCCAGGTGATCTCCGGCACGATCTTCAAGAGTTCTTTGAGCCGTTCGGGCGCGATATGCCCCCGCTTCAAATCGTCTGATGCTGCAGTAGTGAGCACGTACCGCAGCCACAGAATGCTTCGTTGGTAGCTGGCGGGTCGATCAGCGAATCGCTCAGCCGATTCGAGCTCTTTCATGAAGTAGTCGCGATCGTCCATTTCGAACGAAGCTGCGTGCCATCCGTCTTCCATCCAATCGGATCCGGAGACGGAGACTCTGGCCGCTGCAAATCGCGTCCCCTTCTTCTGCCGCTCGACCTTAGTCTGCCACACCACCCCATAAAGAGCCTCGTCCTTCAAGGCGAGCGCCTCAGGCACGACGTGGAGCGCATCGTCGAACCTGAGGGACGAGTAGATCATCACGAGCACCCACCATGCGAAGAACGCCATGGGGAACTGGCTCGACTTGAAACGAGCGCTCACAAACCTCTCGAGCGCCGCCACCAAGACCAGAGGGATAGGAACTGCTTCCCGAGTCTCTTTCCCTCGATCGCCGTACACCTTCTTCTGCAAGGCCATGATCCGGGGATCGAGGAGATCTGGCAGCTGCAAACCGATCCGCTTGCAGATCCATTTGACCGCCCCGCGGACCGAAGGTATAACCGTGGGGCCGCATCCTCGGTCGGAGAGATCTAAGAGATACTTGACGAGCACGTCGGTGGTCAGCGGGATCGCCGATATGTTCTGCGACCTCGCCCATGTCTCCATCCTCTCCCAGTGACGAACGCACTGCTGGATAGTGCGGAAACCGCCACTCTCGAAGACGATCACCCTCAGCGCATTCATCTCATCTAGAGAAAGAGGAGATCCCGGCTTCGGGTTGCCAGCGATCGCTGCGTGCTCGCCGCACCTCTCCACGATCGCTTTCAACCTCATGCCCCACTTCCGTGCCTCTCCGAGCTCGCGAGCTTTGAGCGAAGCCTGTGGATCCTCGGCCCGTGGCTCGATCGACCGCGGCCTCTTAACGAGTGGCAGGGGCATAGGAAGCTCTTTGCCCGTCCCTTTCGACTTCAGGGGCGATCGCCCGAAGACGACCGGAGCTTCAGCCAAGCCGAATCCCAGATCAGTAGCCAGATCAGCCCAGCCCGCTGCCGCCGTGCTACGAACCAGCACAAACAACAGCTCGATCGACGGGACCCACCTGCCGAGCTCCTCCTCGTTCTTTCGCCGAGCTGGCGTGTGGAGTTCCTCGAGAGCAGGGACTAGATCAACGAACGCTTGCACACACTCAGCGATCGTCCCGTCCGAAACAGCCGAGAGCTTCTCGAACTGAGCCATCCGAAGATCCACCAACCATTGGCAAAATTCATCCCCGAACAAGGGGAGGGACAAGATCTTCCGAACGGACCTATCCATGCTTGGCCTGAACAGCTGCACAGACGATCGCACGTGCCTGCTAATGGCAACCGAGCGCCGTGCCTGAGACAGGTCATGATCAAACTCACTTCCGGCAGAACATGCGCTGGGATCTAGCGCGCCGAGAGGATCGCTCGGCATGTTTGTTCCGCGGAAGAGCCCGGCTGATCAGCCAGGAGGCTTTGGTCGCGCGGCGCACCACTCTCTTAGGAGCGTGCACAAAATTCGACCGTCATCTGAGCCTCGATCGACAACTACTCCGATGTGTCCATCGTGTAGGGCCCCGTTGTCGATCTGGCGAGCGGGTAAGCCGGGGCGAACGCCTTCGGCACCGAGGTCGGGGTGGAAGCCGAGGCGGTGATCTCCTGGCCCGTCTCCTCCACCCTGACCGTGCTGAACCGCTCGTACTCCGCCTGCTCACGATCCTGGAGGACGTCCGTGAAGACCTGCGGCGTGATCGCAGCCGAGGTGCGCGAGAAGCGCATGTCCGCCCTCATGCGATCGCGGGCTTCCATGACGACCTGCTCGGCGAGCTGCGCCTCCTCCAGCTCGCCCTCGGTCGGCACCTGCACCCTCTGGTCGAACACCTGCTGAGCCGAGGTAGGCATGTTCGAGATAGCCGAGGTGACGGAGGAGCCCAGCTGCTGAACCGCCTGCCGAGCCGCCTCATCCATGAGAGCCGGAGCGCCATTGCGGGCCCGAACGGAGGTGTTCTCGTCGTGCGACCGGCGCGCGACCGCCTCCTGCCGCACGAACTCCAGTGGGCAGACCCTGAGCTTGGACCGAGCCCTCACGTGGAAGTTCCCATGATCGACTGGGAACTCATCCGTCGCTGTCCCCACTTGCTCCTGCTCGCCGGCGAACGCACTGCGGTACCAAGGACCGATCACTGCAGACAGCTGGGCGAACTGCTGGATGTGGTCCGGGCCTTCCACGCGAGCGCGTTGGCTCCGGCAGGCCTGGATCGTGTTGATCAAGGCGGGCCCCGAGATGTGGCTGACCGTGAGCCAGGTGCCTGGCACGGAGGTCCGCCCGCACTTGAGATCGATCCTGTTGTTCGCGTCCCGGAACCGGAACTCAACACGATCGGCATCATTGCCATAGCCTTCTCTCGAGGAGCGATCAGTCACTCGGAGCTCGCACGTGCTCATGGCATGATCACTTGCCATCACAGCTCCTCTCGGCCCGATCGTGTAGACTCGGGCTCCGACCTCGAACGAAGTCACCGAGACCTTCCATCCCACGAAGACCGGGATGACGATCGAGGGCCGGAACCATCCCTCGTTGGCTGACCTGATCAGGACCTCGTCACAGAACTGCTGCTGGACGGAGAGGTCCGAGTCCGAACGGTAACCTCGGAACACCCAGTGGAACAGGACCTCGTTCCCATTGAAGACCTTCACATCCACATAGGTGGCCGAGGTGTCGAACATCACCGGCCATGTGAAGGGCTGGAAGGCCGGGTGCGATAGCGCCCGACTCGCATAGGAGTCCCACTGAGCACATGGGCCCCCAGTTCTCGAAGTCATCGAGAAAAGCAGAACTGCTTTGATGCCATCGAGAGTGTAGTTCGCGAACAGCGAGCAATGGTAGCCCGAGTTCGGGGGCATGACCAGATCCCGCTCCGTCAGCACGTTGATCGAGCTGGCGGCATTCGAGATGATCTCCTCGGCCAGCCAGTTTTGGAACGGGGAGATCACCCGGTCGTCGCGATTGTCGATGACGAGGAGCGAGTTCTGGGTCTCGTCCTCCTCTTCAACCACGAGCTGGCGAACGAACTCAGGCCGCTGAACAGCGAAAGGGTTGTGTGCTGCAGGAGCAGGGCGGTCACGACGTCCTCGACGATCGTCGCGACCCCATCCCCCAGAGCCCCAATCGCCGGATGCGGCAGGTGGAGCCGCTGGGTTCTCGGGAGCTTCGGCTTCGCCCGGAACATAGAACCCCCAGGATCCTTGGTTCTCCGTCGAGCCGATTCGGCGAGGCAACCCGAACTGCGGGACTGACGGAGCCGCCATCGGACGGCCCTGAGAAAAGCCTGCAGGAGGGAACGACATGGCTGCAATCGAGCGAGCCTATTCACTGTCACCTCCCACGCCGAATTTTTCGGTATGGCCCGATCGGCTTGAGCCAAAATGGCCACGGAAAAGAGAGCTCACGTCTGTTCCAACGATCGCGAAAATGATCTCCTAATTCCTACCCACCAGACCGATAATTAGGAGACATACATATATGCATACATATACATACACATACAACACGCGAAAAATACATCAATAACAAAATAGTGCTATCTCACACAAATTTAAATGAGTATTATGTATGTGTACTTACTTATTTGCTTGTGTATTTATCTATTTCTCTATACCGACCCTCTCGGACCAGACAGCTGAGGCCCATAAAAAGGAGCCCTAAACAGCTTCAGCGGATTACGACCACCAAAAACAATCAACAACGAGCGTTCTAGGCTAGGAGCAGGAGCTGTCTTTGTGTTTTCGTCCTTCGTAACTATGTGATGACAACATGCCAAAATTTGACAAAACTTAGCATCAAAACTTATTACTTCACTAAAGCTTATCCAGAAACATAAGGTTTACAGTTTTTCACAACCAACGAGCAACCTGGTTATACACCGATTCTCTCCCGTACAACTCACTTACAACATCTTACAACCCTGTTCGCTGTTTACACTACAACCAGGACGGCGCACCCTGTAGTAGTAAAACTACAACACCTTCACAAAACGATTGTAGCGGTCCTCTCGTACCATCCTGGCTTTGCAAGGGCACTCCATCCTGTTCGACACTCACCCTCTTTGAAGCAAGGCAATCGCAAAACTTCCAGCAAGACTCCTGTGAGTGCCCGCCATGCTCGCCATCGATACCTTTTAAGTTAGCTCGGAGTAACAAGCGTGCAATGTTGTCAACGCACTGTGGTCTGGCCTCCTTGGTACGCCTTTTCGGCGAACAAGGTCTCGAAATCCGTCTGTGACAACGAAATGTCCCTGGCCGTCTGCTGAAGTCCCGATTCCACGGAGGAAGACTCTAATTACTTTAACCTAAGTCGCTTCTTTCCATAGCAGGCGTGGTGCTTCCAAGTCATGCAAATGCCTCGTGGTCCAGCCGGAAGTAAGTCAGCAGCAGATTCTTTTCCTTCAAGCAGGTGGGCCAAGTCTTCGTCTTGTCGGCTGTTGCAAGGGTGGACAAAATGACAGCCCACAGGTCTTAGAGTCTGAGGATGCTGTGGCCGAGGATGTTGATCCATCCCAAAAACCTTTACGATCCTATACGGATCTGGTATGCCGCTTCTGGACGGGCAGGCTGGAGGCATCAACTGAAAGTGAATGGTCTCACCATCAGTGGTGCAAATTTATCCGCGGGTCGTGCATCCCCGGGTAGGATCTTTACAATCCCATCTCATCCAAGCATCGTTGAAATCTTCATCACCGGTCTGCCCCTCTGTCTATCTAATGGTCAAGCCCCCACTGGTTTCAGCAACAGTTGTTACAAAACGCATCTTTCTTTCATTGGGCACTTACCAAGACAAACATCATGTACAAAATGTGCTCCTACTGGGTCCTACTTAGAACTGGTCGTGCTTGGACAGTCCTTGAGCTCCTCTTTGTCCAGTGTGCGAACAAACTCCTGGTGGCAGGAGCATGTCTCCAAAGCTTCTTGCCGAGTCAACTAGGGCCTTGTCTGTGGCTGTGTACAGAAACTGACGAGGTCCGCCACCAGGAATTCCCACCTGTGCTTCACTCCAGCACTGGTACATGCGCCCATGCCGCGACTTCCCTTCGCCGTTGAACGCTGCGACAACGCTGGCACACCTGGTGTTGAGAGACACATCCGCACCCCATGGCCAAAAGACCAAATCATATGCGCCAACCACCTCAGCTCCATTCAGGGTCAAACTGTGAAAGAACTGCTGGCTTGCCGTCCGAGCAGCAGGTGCTGTCACAAAGAGGCCGCGATACATGGGGCCAATCAACCTTCGAGGCGAGAGAAAGAAGCACGGCATGGCTGAAGCCAATGCCACGGCCTCTGCTACAAACGTACAGCAGCGTGCCATTGCCCTGCTGATCTACGCACCTACAGTAAACATACCTGGAAATGACATGCGGGGGCGCGGCGACATACACATTCTGAGCTCCAAGTTGTCTGCCTAGCACGTTTTCGAGCGTAGCACGTTGCGGTCAGGTAAAGCTGTTTTCCAAGCGATGCAGTGGACAAGACTCTGTTGAAGCCCAGCTGATTTCAGCTAGCAGACATATGTACAGGCAGGCCAAGCCGTGGACTTGGGCAGAATGCGGTAACAGCAGCTGCTACTTTGTAGCCTGACCGTTCGGCACTCGGAACTAGGTGATGGCTGTGAGTGCCGTCATGGGTCGTTCCAAAGGTGCACCTCAGGGAATCGGTGACATTCCAAACAGGTTGGCTCCAAGCTAGAATCGAAAGCCTGAAGCATGCCCACCGATGCGATCCCATTGCCCACCTGAGACGAGAACACCGTTGCATGCCATGTCCCATCGCAGTAGCCGCGCGCCGTTGCCAACACACACTTCTGTAGGTGCTCTTTCAATTCTGAGGCCTTCACTTTCATCGATAAAAGTAACCAGGTCATCAGGACCTAACACTAATGGTGTGAATTGAAGTCACTTTCTGCTGATGCAGCTTTTAGTCACCAATGATACCAAGGCCTTCACTTGGCTGGTAAATGGACGCACGCTCCCTGCAATCGAGGTTCAACTGAGCCGTAGTTCCAGCATTCACCTGCACAAGCTTTTACCCCTGCCTTTCGATGATCATTGGCTGGTCCGTGAACAAGACACTCTCACCTGCAAACGAACAGGCGCGGTTCCGTATATATGCGTGCGTGCAGCTTCGCTTACAGTCCAGTCATATAGTTTCCCCAGGCGACGGCCTCCGTCTCTACCAGATGCCTTCAACACGACCACGGTAGTTCATGCCATGCTAACTTGAAACGAATGCAGCACGATGCTGCGAACCTGTCTCAGGATTCCCTGGTAAATCAGCAAGTCGTCCACCTGAAAGGTGCGCAATGAAGGTCGAGTGCTTCTGTCGGCTGCCTGCTTGTGGGTTGCGTAGACTTCGACATCACGGACACCACGCGCTGGTGTCCTGCACCAAGAAAGCTAGGCGCCGCCCGCTGCTGTCCGCTGCTGAGCAGGCGAGTGACTCTCAGAGGCATGTCAGTAATTGTCCCACTTTGCAAAAGCCCGCATCCAAATCAATCCACATCACAGAACTTCTGCAAACTCTGCTGACAGGCTTGTTTGGGAGTGAAAGGCCAGCCTCCCACTCTCGTGGTGCAGGATTCGCACACACAACTACATGCACAAACACCCTCACTCACAAGGGGAGACGTATCCTGGAGTAGTTCCAGAACTTTATTGAAGAGATCTGTGTCGGCTCATCGAAGACCAGTTCCACCTGCCGCAAAACTTTTGCGAGGCTTCGTGCCATGGCCATGACGGTAGGTGTCTCAGCGCCCGGCATAGTTGTTTGGCTGCCTGAAGAACGGCGCCAACCTGCAGACGGCACAAATTCTGCACAACTTCGCAGATGGATGAGGAGCGAACCATGAAGTCAATCTTTAAGAAACATGAGCCGCCGAATAGCTAGTAGCAGCTATCACAGCAGCAATGGTTCGTGGACAACAAAGAAGACGATGACAGCTTGCATCATGCGGTTGGTTGTTGCTGATGTAGCTGCACACGCTGCTCAAAAGGAACACGGTCTTGGACATGTCCATGTTGGGCATGTGTTTTCTACTACTACTACTACTACTACTACTACTACTACTACTACTACTACTACTACTACTACTACTACTACTACTGCTACTGCTACTGCTACTGCTACTGCTACTGCTACTGCTACTGCTGCTGCTACTGCTACTGCTACTGCTACTGCTACTGCTACTGCTACTGCTACTGCTACTGCTACTGCTGCTGCTGCTACTGCTACTGCGACGACTAAGGCTAACAATTACATACACTGCCACATTGGTGAAGCCAGTTGGGTTGCAGCTACGAGCATTGCGACGAGTGAAGACCACATCCGAATAAATCGTGTACGACGGCCTTACTTTGGAAGATTTCACGATTGAAACTGCATGGGCACGCCAGTTTCACAACGACTCCGGCACCACGCCTCCCGCTTCAGGATACAAACGCCAAACATACAACCCTTCTGTTCTATTTCTGCTGCTTCTTTACAGAAGCGTTTACAACAACACCGTTCAGACACGCATTCTGCTCGAAATGTCGGTTCTGTTGTCAACAGTGTCGGTTGATAAGGCTCGTTGAACAAAACGGCACCGAACAGTATCTAAGACTGCTCCAGGTTTGCAATAAGTTCTGCAGGTGTCTCATCTACCAGAAGAAACTAACGTAACTAGCGAAAGGTTGAATGTCTTTCAATGCCTTGCAGCGAAAGCCAAAAAGTAGACACCTCGGGTGTTTGCAGGAAGGGAAGGAACCGAACCGCGAACCGTGGAACCGGAACCGTCAGAACCGGAACCTGTGAACCGAGTAGTAAAACCGGAACCGTCGAGCCGAACCGAAAAAGGTTCCAATTCCCCGAGGTTAGGGGTCAGGGTTCTCTTCGGTCTCTGCTCTTCATTGCTTTTCGCTGCGTTCTCTGCTCTTCTCTTCGCGCTTCTCTTTCTTGCTGGTCCTTGCTTTTCTCTGTTTGTCTTTGTTGTTGTCTCGTCTTCCCTCCTCTGCTCTTTCCTCATCCTCTGATGTCCCAAAATCGCCCTAACACAATGTGTTAGGATTTTCCGCTTCTGTTGGCCTTAGGGGGGCCCCAAACCCCCAAAATCGCCCTAACACAATGTGTTAGAAATTTTCGGTTCTGTTCCCGAAAACCACTAACAAAATGTGTTAGGAATTCTCGGTTCTGTTGGCCTTAGCTTCTAAAGGCCTTGAAGGTGCCCCAAACCTCCCCAACATCGCCCTAACAGAAGACCTGTCTAGGTGTGATGAGGTCAAGTTCAGCACCAGTATGTGCGAAGAGAACCTTCGTTACGAAAGGGATGAAGTACGATGAAGTGGGAGCTTCTCGGGCGCCCATAGTTTCGAGCTTCTACGTAGTTTCGGATCGGCTGACGGTGAGTTTCGGATCACGGGGGTGAGTTTCGGGGCCCAGTCTCGGGACGGGGGAGGGCCAGTTTCGGGGCGCGGGGCCAGTTTGTATGGTCAGGTTCGGGGGCGCAGGGGGAGGGGGCGGCTTCCGGATGTTGCCAGGTGACCACTACAGTACCACACAGTACCACTAGAGCAATACGAAGAGTACTCCACGAGTACTACTGCTGCTAGTGATCAACTACTACTGTTGATCTGACCTCTGCCCCGAAACTCCGCCCCGAAACTCAACACCGATTCTACCCTACCCTCGAAAACCCTGAAACTCGCAACTTCCGGAGATTTTCTGTCTACTTTGAGATTGTAGGACTGCAGATGTTCTTTCCCATTTAAAGTGAACTGCGGGTCCTCGTAGAGGCTTTCCACCGTGTCTTGCATTGAAAACAAGACACATTCCAAGAACCATGCGTGATCATTCGTGTTAATGACGCCCATCCGGCGGCAGCCTGACCAATGTGGCCTGTTGACTTGTTGCCTTCAACACTGATGTTAAGTTGAGCGATTGGACGGGGAGGATCGAGCCAGCAAGCCATGCGTGCATTCATTCTTTGGCATGAACCTCTGCAAGGCAACAACAGACTGAGATCATCACCACATCCGCATGTTGCTTGGGGCACCCTTGAGGAAGGTGTCCTTCAGACAACAATCCACTCTAGGCCGCTGCTGCAGGCCGTGATTTATCTTGCACAGGCACATGTTGTGGCTTTGTGAAGGCCTGGCGGGGAAGGAAATGAGACAAAGTTCAGGCCAGCTTTGGCTCCGAAACCCGTCCATATTGTAGTGAATTGCAGCTTTGCACTCAATTCTGCAGAATCTGAAGACTCAAGGCAGAAAGATATGGTTTCCGCTGTGTCCAAGTGAATCCAGGGCACTGCAAGTCAGCGCGATGCACCAACAAAGCAATGCCGTCTTTGGATGGATTGAATTGCTCCCCGTCCCTTCGTCAACACCCTTTGCGGTACGAGGAACCTCCGTGCGGACGTCGGCTTCCATGCCAGGAAGATCCCTGGCCGCAGCTTCCATATCAGACGCTAGATAGCGAGTTGTCATGTCGAGCCTGACACTGCCGTGATTGGAGTGCGCCCGCTTGGGCCTGCGAGCGTTGGTGGCGTCAACAATGCTGTGAATACTTTTCGAAGGTCCTCACAGCTCCTGCTACTCCAAAGCTTCCGAACAAGAAGGCAAGGGTGCGTTTTAGGGCTTGGAGAAAGCTGCCTCCTACCCTCTGGCCGGCCACCACACACTGTCTTTGTTTGCTATAAACAGTCTTTCCAAGTTGTCATCGTTCGGTTTGCTGTCAGTACAATTACTCTACCGTCGGGGGACTGACGTCCGGGGTTTCTCGGCAATTCTCTGCGGGAGCAGGATCCGCAGGTGGAGCCCTTAACGTTTGACATGACCTTTCGCTGCATGTGCTAGCTGCTAGCCGCTAGCCCGGCAAAGCTTCAAAGGCAATTAGCTGCCTCCCACTTCCAAAACATGACCCCGTGCAAAGCAATAAAACAGCCAAAGCCTGCTTCTCGGAAGTCTCAAATCTGCGCTGAAAAATCTCGATTTGTTGACCCAGGCACTCTGCCCAAACCGAAGTAGTGCTGGATTCTGGGTTTCAACGCTGCCCGGATTGCGGCCTCAAGGCCCTGCCCAAGACGTCGTAGATCTGCAATGGGTCAAGAATGTACTGCGTGTGCCAGGCAAGCGCATGTTGCAGGAAACCGGTATGGGGAGGCACCTCAACACCGTCCAATCCGACGTAATGCACCTGCACTGCATGTCGCGAGCAGCTACCCATGCCCATGCCAAACTCCAAAGAAGCGGCAAAGAGCTGCGTCTACCAGCTTCGGAAACTGAGCACGATGCATCTGACCATGTACTCACGAAAAGCAGCTTGAAAGTGAAGCCACAGGGATGCAATGGGGTTTCGTACCTGCCACCCAGAGGCTCTTCATGCCCGTCAATATCAAAGCTGCTTATCAGTGGTCGCACTGCTGTGGTGGACGTTCCAAGGAATGGGGAGATCGTTCAGCAAGCCTCGGACCGAGAAGCCCAAGGAGCTCATGCGGCTTACGGGTCTCTTGAAGGCTTCGCAGCCTCCCAACATCCACCTGCGAGGATGTCCTGATTGAAATCTGACATGAAGCGTTGCAGCGTTGGTAGGTAGGCAAACATGCATATTCACTTCGGTGGTACGACGGCACTCGCAGCCTTTCCGACCCGCTTGGCGGTCGACCGCGACTCGTGGGGCGATTATCATCTCGCCGCCTGACCGTTGAAGTCTAAATTCCTGCGCACTCCGGCTCTCTCCGGCTCCTTGCTGAGCGTGGCAGAGGAGGAGCTCGTCTTGCCAGGTCCTGAACTTCCCCTTTGCGGTCCTAAAGCATGTACAGCATGTACTCACTTCCGAGTTGCGCACGGAAGGCGGCTGATCAAGGAGAACAACCTGCTTGAAGTCGAAGTGCACATGACCTAGTACTTCGCAAAGAGATTCTGAAATTGATGCCCGTGCAGTGAGAAAGCTTGCTGAGAGACTAGAACCTTGGCACCCTGCCAGGAGCTTTGCGGCACAAGAACGTCGCAATGAACCTCCGGCAGTGTACGCTCATGTTCCAGAGCCTTGTGAAGTATCCACTCGACCATGAAGGCAGCCAGAAGGCCTGTCATCGCAGTACACAGAGAACTCTCGAACACCCCTGCAAGTGTCCTGACATGTTGCAGGTTCCAGACCGGCATGAGCACCGGCAGGTATAGGGCGGAGATCAAACACTACAGGCACTCGTAGTTATCATGCATTTTACATGTTTAGCGTGCATAAAGAGACTTCAACTGAAGAGCTCAGGTATGGTTTCCACAGGGCTCCCACCAGCCAACTCCAACGACCCACTGAGCTGAGAATTCTTGAGGTCAGGATCGCCAGGGTTCAAAGCCGATTCAGGAATATTCAGGATCGAAGAGGCACAGTGGCTCCTCCTTATTTGCCAGAGGTGTTCCAAGGCCTTCTGCCTTCCCCGGCTAATGGTCCACAACTAGCAGGGATCAGGAAGCCGAATCGGAGCGAAGGAGGCAGAAGTGGAGTCCCTGAAGGCCCCGAACGACTCCTAAGCGTGCATAGTTGCGACGAGACTACCGAGGGTGTGTTTCGGCTTGGCGTGGCCGTCCTCGAGATTCTTGTTGTAGTTCCAGATGTTGAATCCGGCAACCTCGCGTGGGCAAGGCCAGCGGCCAGAAATGAAGGCACTCCGGACTCCAGGAGACATCAATCAGCCGTGGTGGGCTCCCAATCTGTGCAATCAGCCCTGATGCCTCACGGTCCGTATCAAAGAGAATGCGGAGGTAGTTGCGCTGGCGGGCACCGCACATTCAAGCTCGAAGAGCACAAGCCACTAGCTCTGGGGACACTCACATCGCTGTCTCCAGCCGCCTCTGCAGCTTCGGCCTGCCCCGTCATGCTGTCCCCGTGAGTCTCAGAAACCAGTCGGCACCTTTAAAAAGGGTGCCAGCCACATGTGCTGGTCATCCATTGTGCAGCAGACCTCGGACTAAGTGTGATTCACACACCTCGAAGACTCTCATCGAACAAGAACTGATTGATGCACCCCATCGAAAAGGTTCTGAAGTGTTCGGACGTCACCCTCCACGCCCTGCGGCAGCAGTTCTTTAAACGTGCATCACGTCACAATGTCACAAGGCTCTGCACGCTGTCGTTGGACGACGGCCAAAGGTTCCGCCTCCAAGTCATTCAAGTCTCTGGGGTAGGCATCCAGCTTGACCTGTCGGTATGTTCCCTTGGGCCCCCGATTAGATTTCCGACTGAGCACTTCTAGCGCCGATGTTCTGTGGCATGGGGCAGCATACTGGCATTCACGCAAACCTTGAAGGCTTGGTTGGATCCTGGTCTGAACATGGTTAAAGTTTTAGGTCTACGAGACACCCAACTTGCTCCCACGAAACGAAGCCCAGCAAAGTGCGACGCAAGCACAGTGGAATGCTTCACAGTGCTGCACAAGTTCAGAGTTTGCAGGAAGGAAGCAACAAATCCCTGCATGCCAAAGACGACGTTCTCCTTATTAACTGTTCGGGACTCAGAGGGGCAACATGCGGGAAACCTCAGCTCTTTGCTCAAGTCCATTGAGTCTCAAATATGCAACTATGATCCTGTTATAGAAGCCGTGTATCTGCGAGCCGAAAGACTAAAGCCTGCAGAAACCACCCAGGAAATAGCATGCTGTTTACAGGACAGGATTGCGAGACCAAGTCGCTTCAGCAACAGTACTACTTAAGAAATGGCTTAAGAACTTGAGCCCCTGTCCGAAATATCAAATTGAAAATCCGAAATCGAGGGTACGCTGACCTCGGGTTGCCAGTGTCGCATTTGGTCTTATCGATTTTGCTTTGGGTTGCTTTGTGTGCTCAAAAACACTGCTGTGAGAAACTGACGGGTGGAATTTGGGACTTGGCTCCTCATGGGCGATGAAAGAAAAACACCTGGAGGAATTAGAGTTTGTATAAGAACCCCGCTATGAATCCCTTATCCCGAAACTGGGTTCTCGTTCTTTGTTGCACTCTTTCTGGATTTACAAGGCATCGAAGATTATTACGTATGACAAGTACGAGGACCAGGCTTGGTTCTTGGTGGCCTGCAGCATGTTACAACCCATCTACAATTATGGATCACAACATGCCTATAGGGCCTATAGGCCTTAGGTCTTAAGAACAGGTTACCATCACCTCAGCTCGCTAGCTGGCGCGAGTACAAGTACAGGATGGCTCACGTCCCTCAAAAAGCACCTGTCAAACCAGGGTTGTCGATTTTGTTATGGTGTTGGACACTCAACTTGCCTCGGATTTCGGAGGCTTTATGTAGCAAGTCTAGTACAGTTTCACCCAGTTTGCAGAGGTGCAGTCTGCACAGGGCGTGTGCAGTCTCTCAAGCCTGAGTTTGCACAAGAACAGCATGTAGAGCTCAGTTGCAATAGCAGTAGCAGTAGCAAGAGCTGTAGAAGTAGTGGCGAGTAGCCGTAAACAGTAGCAGCAGCGGTAGCAGTAGCTGTAGCAGTAGGAGTAGTACTAGCAAATAGTACTGATAAGTCTTGCAGTACAAACAGCACCGGCAGCGCTTAATACTAGTAGTACAGTAGCAATCAAAAGTACCCATGCAACTTATAATTGTAATCTAACGGCATCTTTTAATGTTATTTCTTATCGTTTTACAGTCTAAACCACACAAGGGGCATCCTGGACTAATCTACAAGCACTGCCTTGTTGGACAACCTCGTAATTGAGCTCGCAGCTTCTGTGCCAAATGGCCTTCTGAAAAAACAGGCTTTCCAAGCAGTTAGGAATCCCCGCCCATCACCTCCCAAGCTTTCCAAGGGTTTCAATTTAACGTGCGTTCTGAGGGACTTGTCGAAAACTCACCGAATCAAGAAATCAAACAGCTCGATTTCCTAAGTAGCGTAACTCAAGAGTTCGGTCAAACTTTCAATGGTTTTGCCTTCCGAAAGTCTCGAAACATGTACCTTTAGGCTGGGCAGAAAACTCCCCAAACAACAGGAACATGATCTCGCATTTCTGATTTTAGAGCTTGCCTATGAAGTAGTGTGGCGCTCAACAGCGTCCGGATTGGCTGACTTTGGAGCCCTGCCAAATTAAGAAACTTGAGTCAAGCAAATCCAGGGCAGCCTCAAGTCTGGCAACATTGTTTTTAGGAAAACTCTTGCACAAGAAAATTGAAAAGTCGCGTGCATAGTGGCCGACGAGGCCTGTTTCTTAAGCAGCGCCCTCACTGTACTGCGCTGTGCAAACGGAAGGTGAACCGCTGCCCTGATCAAGCTTTGATACCCTCCGAACATGGCCTCATCAGGCGCCATGGGAGCGAGATTGCCACCAAGTACCTGTTCGGGCTGCTATAAGGTCAGTCACGTCTAAGGAGTTGAAGCAAACGGAAAGAAAAGATCAAACGACAGAGACACGCAGACAAGCAGACGATACAGTAGGCGAGAATCTAAGGGACGAAGAATCTAGATGCAAACACGCACGCACTCACACACATAAATAACCACTTGCCAGTATACGAAGATGACACGACTACACCCAAGTACACAGCGGCCCCAGCCTCCAATGCCGTCAGTCCCACATAGAACTGATCTCCCCAGGTCGAGTTGACCTGGCCACAAGATTCGCCCCGCACCGAACAGCTTCCATGTTGCAGCAAACCATTGGAGGCAAACCAGCAGCGTGACCGAGCTGCATACCTGGGCGTGTGGAACATGCGCTCTGCAGCAAACGAGAAGGCCTGAACTCGTCACCTTACACCCTGCATGTGCTTGAATCCTTCAGTAGCTCTTGTAGGGTTTGCCGCTTCGACCCTTCGTGCGATTTCAGTTTAGCTCACTGGGGTTTTCGGCTCTGAGGGTTTGTGTGCTTCAGCACTTGACCACCCAATCACTGTTGTAAAAGAATTTCCTTGCTGGCGTGACATGGGAATCAGGATTCAGGCATTTGCCACCCGACCGCGGAACGCATCGCTGCACAAGCTCCGAAGCTGTGATCGTGAAATCCCACGTTGAGCTGCCACCCCTCTCCATTGTATGGATTTTCTTGCTAGATCTGCCACGCGTCAGGAAGACTCGTGGAGAAAATGGACAATGGATTGGCACGCAATCTCGCTCATCTCCGATTCTGAAACTCTTGCTGGGATTAATTTCGGTAGCTTAATTAATGCAGGCACACTCTACTACAATATGCAAATCAAGCTCACACTTTCTCACAAAAGGGGATGATCCCCGCTTCCAGGATGGCAGGAAGGCAAATAAAACACAGCAAAATGGCAGGCTGCCAGGCGCAGACAGGCACAATGCCAGCAGATTTCTGCAGCGGGTTTACGACGCCAAGTGCTTCACCCTCTGCAGCAAGGTACCCCGACGTCCTTTCAGCACATTTCATGGCGCTTCACTGCAGATTGCGGGCAAAGCAGGATTGCTGTGGCTGAGCACTCAACATCACACGAGGCCCGCGGTTTGGTGTCGCTGCTCTATTCACACAGCAACAGCACGTGCAAACATTGTTGCACACATTTGCACACTGTCACGACATGCGGTAACATTCAAAATGCTGAAACGAACAGCGTCGTTGTCAATCCACAACAAACCAAGATGGCCCGACTACAGATGCAGCTCCCACAAGCAGCCGTTATCGCAGCCTGAAGCACAAGGTGAACAGTGCGACCTTATGGCCAATGAGCAACCACATCCTCAAGGATGGTACAGCCAAACCACGCCAGTGGATAGCAGAAGCGGAGCACGCATCGGCTTTTGCAGCCACGTCAGAGGCAACATGGAATTTACTGCGCGACATAGTGGGCCACAGTGACCACACCCAAGCGTCGGCTTCTTGGGAACGTGTGGTGCAACATCCATGATACGGCCCAGCGCAAAGCGCAAAGGTGGAGACAGGGCCACAGGTTTGCTGCTGCCAAACCTGGTGCCCGACCAAACAGGTTGCCACACAAATCCACACAACCAGCGGATTCAAGAGGCATAACTGGTGCAATTCTTGGCAGACACAGCACCACGGTCCAAGCCAAAGGCAAAATGGCAGTGTGGTGGTACATGAAAGATCGTGATGCTAGTGATGCTCAACGATAGCCTACTCATCTCAAAATAAAACGACTTGTTGATAGATTCATTCGTCAAGAATGGCTCGAGAAAACACACGGATCGTCGTGTGCTTGTTTGGGCCCTCGCTATTCCACGTCCCCTTTGTCGTTCCAGGGCTCTCGTCATTGGCCGGCCATCGGACAGGCGTGGAGTCACCTCGACGTGGACGCGGCAAGCTGTTCCAGGAGAGCATGGCCGAAAGTACAAGCCAGTCCTGTCCACGAGGCGACATTCCATGTCCTGCCTTGGAACAGCCCACAATACTGAGATCTATCAGCTTGCTGAAGACTGATGAGCTCCGGGCGCTAGCACAATCAGCTGTCGGTGGTCTTCCTCCCAGGGCATCTGAACTCCTCCCCTGGCAGCACATTCCACGGAAATGGACAACTACGGTCCGAGAATGCTGAGATAAACTGAGCCTCCTCGGCTTCCTCCTGCAGCTCCTGGCAAAAGCCGGACCATGAGCCAAACTCCACGCTTCCCCCCAAAAAAACCTGACAGAGAAACAGCGGTGCCCACAACTCGACCTGTTCCTCTGCATGGAAATGTTGGGAATCCTATGTCTGTCTATTGAGGAAACCATATACGATTTGCAGGAACTGTACCCGGGAAACCGACACGTCGACAGATGTCGACAGGTTGACCCTGCTGCTCGAAACCCCTTGTCTCTGATGCTGGCACCTCATCAGAGTCGAAAGGCAGATGTGCTGGCAGCCAATCATGTTCAGCCACCGCCTTAGAACGCGGAGTCTGCGCACGTGATCCGACGGATCTGCGGACCGTGCCTCCAGAACAGACTCGTCCTGTGTGAACAAGATGAGTTCGCATGCCTGAGAGCAGGAAGCTGGCCAGGTTTCTGGAGTCAGAAGTGTCTGCTGATGATTGCTGATGTCTGCTGTCTGTGACAGAGGCCTCTTCAGGCTTGGTCAGAACACCGGGGGCTCTTCTGACCTGCACGCTGCACGACGGCCATAAATCCCTTGACACAAAGCTAACCCTGAGCAGCCTCACCAATGAAGATTGGGCTGCCATCCAACAAGATCTCCAGATCCCTGCAAAAGGCGGTGGTCATTGCACTTTCAGCAAAACCTGAGCATCGGTGGCGCTGGTGGGCATGCCAACCTTACGCCCCTGCTTGAGTGCAGACGAGACTTGTTGTAGTTCCAGACCTTGACGAAGGTACTGTTCTGCGATGAGCCCGATCACTGTCAAGACAATACGTGTCCGAGACCTGGGCTCTTATCATACTGATTTCGGTCTGGCAATCCAAGTCGACGGTGACCTTAAGGAATGGTACAGCACAGCACGCACCAGCATTTGACTGACATGTTTGCCGACGATTCAGCTCCTTGCAGTGTGCACACGGCCACTGAAGAAGGGTGCAAGCCTGCAGAGATAACAGTCATGGCCAGCACCGAGATACCCGAAACATCATGGGAGCTGCGAGCTCGTGCGGTGACCAAGAATGCGGCCAAACATGAAGATCATCTCGAGTAAGGTTCACCTGCGGAGGACCGGAGGACAACAAGACTCAAAGCCAAGGCAAAGCCAATGCCTCTCGCCTGGTCAAAAAGCTTCTCCGGTGTGCGTGGATCATGATCGTACTCCTCCAAGACCTCAGCAGCTGAGGGGCACTGGCCGATTCTGACAGAAATTCAATCAATTGACCAGCCGCAAGTAGCAATTGAGATCCAGTGTCCTGCAACTCAATACACCTGACACTCCAAGTCGACGGGGAAGAAAAGCCACTTCCGGTGAACCATGTCTGGCCGAGCCAGTGGTGCACCATTCGGGGCATTGGAGGGTGGGTCGGGACGGCGGACAAGAAAATCTCCAACATGGGTGAAACCCAATTCTTGCGCTTCCACCAACGTCTGCAAACAGTACTGCTTGTTCACGGGTTTTGATTGCTGACCAGCTCATCCAAGGGGTTTGGCAGTCCTGTCGAAACTGCAGGACTGCACTGTAATTACTTGCCCTTCTTGAGTCGGACGCTGGAAGTTGGCTAGGGCGGTGCTTCCTTTCCTAGACATACGGAAGTGGCTGACCTCTTCTTCCAGGACAAATGAACTTCTCCGCTCTAGCTTAGGACAGCCTCAGATGGACCACAAACCACAGGGGCTTTCTAACACTCCGGTTGGGTGCTTGCCAGGCCATTGCACAACCCATCAACACAAACGCAGACGAGCCAATGAGGAGATCACATTGATGGAGTGAGGGTCCGCGGTGACCTGGCTGCACCACTGGGCACGTGCACTTCCGGGCTGCTGGTGCAACGCTGGTAATGACTTGGTAGTGGAACTGGACCGCCTGCCGGTTTCGATCTTTCAAGACCACTGGAAATCCACGTCCATCAAAGATTTCGATCTCAGGAACCGGAAAAGTGTCATGCCAGCAAACTCAACCAATCACCATGTACCACCACTGAGGATGCGACTCCGGCGAGACCAACAAAATCTTTGTCACCCCATGTAGAGACGCAGTTGAAGATGAGGGTCCTGCACTTTTAATTTCGGCCGTAAGCGATCATGCCTTGTATTGTTCAGTTGCAAGCCTCCCCCGAGGAAGAGTTGGGATCACTACCTCGCTGCCGACGACTCTCAACTCTCAACCCTGCAAACATCTCTCCGAGCAATTTCGGGTCCAAGTTCACCACGCTTTCCTGTAGCTGACTAGCAATCATGGACGAGCCTCGGCACGCGAATGCTGGCAGATCGTTCATCCACACTGCCGTGCTGCAGAACAGAACCAGAGACTGCTAGGCCCGCAAGCCTAACGTCACACGCGGCTCTGCTGAGACTTGACCTTGAATTCAAACTTGCTAGCTTCTTGGGCGAGTACGCACGCAGGCGAGCATGGGAGAAATTCATGCAGAAAGTGTTTGCTGCTTGCCGCTTCCCACGGCCGTGTCTGCCAGATTTCGCAACGTTGCAACCGAGAGGTCTGTGATCACAGTCGTACCAAGATAGCCCCGCAGAATCCGCCGAGGCCAGAGGCCCAGGCGTCTTGGGGGTTACCCCAGGTACCCTCCACCTAATCCTTGGGACACCCGTTTTTTGCGTTCGTTTGCCACCCCCTTGCCCGGCTTCCCCTCATTTTACCTGATTTGTCGGCCTCCCCCCCCCAGGCCTCCCCCCCCCCCTTCCCCCTCCCCCCCCCCTCCCCCCCCCCCCCCCCCCCCTCCCCCTGTGCCGATACACCCACAAGGAATACTCCTTGTTAGGAGGTGTATGACCAGTTATTCCCTAAGGATCAAAGGGCAGCGCCCTGCACACGGACAGTAGTTGTTTTGTCTTGCTACGCAAGGAGAGCTTGTCTTGTCTCAATATGGTAAAACCACTGTGAGCCAATGGGCAGCGGAATGTATATGTATGAGCATGCAGCCATTGCTGTAGGTACCTGTTAGAGCTACCCCTTTAGAGGTTTATGGTTTCAAACAGACACTAATTTTCTTTTACCGGAAGCATGGCCGCACATTCACACATATACTGTTATGCCCACTGTCACAGTTGCGGAGTTTGGACTCATGATAAAAACAGCATATTGTTTATGCTAGGTATAGCACTGAAGTACACTGTTGAGGTCACTCCTTTTGCACACACTCATGCATGTTGGTCAGAGAGATCATCTGTACAAGATCAGGTCTGGTAATGTTCTTCTACCGAATTATGCAGCCCTTCATTGTGCTCTTGTTAGAGCTTTGTGATTCACTGTTGTGAAACTCTGAGAATTTTCTTATCTCAGATTCGGATCCAGGTTTGGATCATAGGCTCGAGCATAGACGTTCGGATGTGGCTCATCCGGGTCTGAGTGATCTTCTTCGGAACTTGAAAAGATTCCGAGTAATCTGTTCTCAGCCCTGGTGAAGGCGGCGTCTGCAGTATCATATCCATGGTTGGATATTGTCGCCTTTGGCTCGGCCTTTGGAGCAGCTTGTGAGCTGACTGGAGTTGCCTTGGCTTTAGCCGGTTGCGGCTGCTTAGCCCTTGCCCGTTCAGCCCTTCTTCTTTCAAGCTGTCCGTCTGAGGATGCCCATGATCTTTCACTTTCATCTCCTGAAGGAGATAAGGCGTGGGCATAAAGGCTATTCCAATACTGTGCTGCAGAAGGAGTTAGGACTTCTTCATTGTCAGATTCTGACTGGTCTTCCTCAGAGCTTTGGTCGTCAAAGAGTGTCTCGAGGACATTTTTGAGATTGTTATTTCTTCGCTCTATCTCTAGTGAGGAATGGACCAATTGGTTAAAGACTGTCCTTGAGTCCTTCAGTGCTGTTAGAAGGATTTCCACTCTGGATAGAGTATCTTGGATGGTGTCAAGATGTTCCTTCCTTTCCTCCTTGTCTCTCTGGATAGAGCTTCGCAATGATTGTGCGATTCTGAGGAGGTCTGTGTATTTCGCAAGAGGCATAGTTACCGTTTGATTGTCATGTATGACAGTTGTTTCGTCGCCGCTTAAGTTCCTGAATAGGACTTCCACGACTGGTAGAAACTCCGTGCTCCACGGTTCCTCTTCATCATATGTTTCTACGTGCTGTAGCACGCGTTGTGTAAACTGGCCGGCTGCTTCTACCGTTGCATCGATAGAGCTGACGTGTCTTGCTGCCATGTTTCGGCACGTAACGTTAATTGCCTGGCCTTGATTGGCTTCGTTAAGTGCAGCGTCTGCATAGGTGCAGAGTCCACTGTTGTGGGCTTCTCTAGCTGCCTTTCGTTGAATGCGCCGATTTTGACCTCCTCTTCTGGTAGGACCTTTCGGTCTCGGAGGATCTGAAGGTACTGTTCCTTTCGCCTTTGGCGGAGGACTCTTAGGTGGAGGTGACATATTTGCCTTGTTAGGCCCTGGTGGCATTGCCTTGGGCGCTGATGACGATGCGGCACTTGAGAGTGCAGATGTACCTTTGGCTTTTGCCGGGGATCCCTTGGGGATCGATGTATAGGTAATCTGCATGGCTTCTTCGGCCATTTGTGCATGCAAGGCATCTTTGAATAATTGCGTCATATGAGGAGTGGTACTTGCATCATCGTAGGTCTGGAAGCGCTCAATGTCTCTTTCGGTGCCACGTGGACGTGTATCACCTCTTTGGAAAGGATCGTTCCTGCGAATCTCCGCAACTTGTACTGCATGGAGGCAGTTTTTGCACAGCACCTTCCTGCAAACATCTCTTGCTTGCTTGAGCTGATAACAGCTGTCTGAGAGATGGTAGACTTCGCTTCGGGAAGTATGCCAGATAGGACGCAGATCAGTTGTTTCTCCGGAATTGACCCTGTTGGGTCCCAAAGGTTCACGCGTCTGCGGTTCATCCTCGGGTTCGAGGAATGGAGCTCTTTGGTTCGCTGCTGCTTTTGATTTTGGTTGTTGGCGCTCCATACATCTGATAGGAGGCCTGGTAATCTGCTTCCACATCCAGTGTAAGCCCATTAGCAGCAGAAACACATTCCACGCGATGCTGAAGACGGAGAAGTCCTGCTCACTGGTTAGTGAGTTTGGAAGTGAAGTTTCATCAGTCTTGATAGACTCTGCGTTCGCTCCACCTCGGTTGCGGTGTCCGAACCAGCCCGACAACCCCGCTGCTGTAGCAGCTGTTCTGAGTGCCTTGCCGCTCGGAGCAGACGGTGGACGCGATGCCTTCCTTCTTCTCCTCCGGCTGGAGGATTCGTCCTCTTGTTCCTCTTCATCTCTCTGAGCAGACATCAAGTTTGATGTTTCTCTTTCGTGTTCTTCGATGTCACTTTTTGTTGGTGACGGTTCTTCTTCTAGTCCATCCAGCTCTTCCAAAGACATGTTGAGCTTGTCAACAATATTGGTTCTTTGAGGCCTGGACCTTGATCTTGGTAGATCTTGTTGTGAAGAGGACGATGATTCCTGGTTCCTTCTTGGAGGAGGACCTTCAGGCTCGCTGGGACGTTCAGGCTGTGGCCATTCCCAGAATCTTCCGTATCTGTGATGGCTACCTGATGGTTGCGATTTGTCGTACCAGCTGTTGCCGGATGAGTAAACGAATGAATCGTTGTAACCCCAGTATTCAGCATTACGCTGCTTGTAAGCCTTTCGCTTGTCAGCGATCTTTTGGACCTGGGCATCTGACCGGTTGTGTTTCCCTTTTGTAAGGATTGGTTGTATCGTGAAGCCCAAAGGGCTGTGCCAATCTTTGTCAGAGGGACTCAACCATAGGTCAAGGTTAGAAAAAGTTGAATAGTACTGCTTGACTGAGACAAACAGACGGATATCAATATCCCTGTTATTGTTCATGTCCTGCCACATATCTGAGATTCGCTCCCAGTATGTTCTTTCGGCGGCAGGTGTAACATCTCTTGGACTAGGTGACGCCGTGTGCGGCGTTTTACTCCAGTCAAGGATATAACTGTTGATACAGTCAAGGTCAGCAACTTTCTTCGCCGGGTCCGCCGGTAGACGATCTGCACGTGCCAGTCTGTGCTGGTCGGAGTTGTTCAAGCAAAGATGTCGCACTTGTGAGTGCCTTCCTGCTATTTTGTTGAATGCTGCAAGTTTCTTCTCCAGGTATAGAGAAAACAAACTGTTTCGCGGGTGAACGTCTCCACCTTTTAAGGTGAGCCTCGACGCAATATTATTGAGATCTCCCGCTATTACATCCGGTTTAAAAGGGAGAATCTCGTTGAGGAACGCGTTCACCAGTTCGCGTCTCTGTTCTTCCTTATGAGTCATGAATGAGTTGAAATGGACGATCGCGATGGTGATGACCTTGTAAGGCCCTTTTGTACACCACATCTCGTCAAGATCGTTCGATGCTTCTTGTGAGAAGATCTCTGCGTATGACTCAAAGTCTTCCTCTGGTGGCTCATCACCCTCGACATGGCCGTTCCATTCACAGAGAACCGGCGAGGGGTCGAGGTTCGACAGTGTCAGGCACGCCTCTGGTGAGAGGTAAGAGCCATCAGTGGGTCCATCCTTGTCAGGATTTTTGCCCTTGAGTGGGTCATATCCGATAATCTGCATGAACTCGTCTCTCGTCATCCTTTGGCCAGAATATGGGTGGACCCATTCTTTTGCCTCTGGGATGGTACTGTGGTACCCAAAGGTGAGGCGGCATACCGCACCGTGGCATGCCCACAGTCGCTTCTTGGGACCACCATTCTTAGGCTTCATTGTTCGATGACGGTAAAAGTGGTGGACGAGAGCGATGTCTGTTGTTGGGTCACCCTTGACTCCAATATACATCGAGGGTGCCTCAGGCTCCTTGGGAGGAGAGTGGATTAGCATCCCCCTGTATTCATGTTGTCGCATGGTTGCGATCGAATACTCTGACGCAAGTGCTCCTGCCTCGAGTACGAGGGTAATATGAGCTGAATTGTTGAAGCACATGTCAATAAGAGGGTGATAATCGAATCCCTTCTCAGGTTTGAGCTTCTTTTTGGGATTCCCTGCGGGCACCGGCGCTCGATCCATATTTCCCCAGTTGAATACCACTAGGTTTAGCGATACGCTGTCTGGGTTTGAGCCTTCAATGTATTCTCTCTTCTCGTTAACACCGGCCATCCTATTGCGAACTATCTCGTAATGTGCGTCGAGCACCAGTTTGTCTTCGTAGCCAGTAAGAGAGAGAAAAGAAGCCGGATGGCTTGTTCTAGAGTCCTTGATGTTGATGTGACTCTTGTTAATGCTCTTATATTCCTCCAGGGTTGGAGCCTCTGTGGAGCTGTCATACGTATTCGGAGGATTGTTCCTAATATCATCAAGGCTGCATGGATCAACGCCTGGATGGTCCTTTTCGAACAGACTTCTTGCGTGTTCGCAATACATGTTGATTTTCTGGACTGCCAAATCTA